CATTCTGCGTGTTCCTCGGGCCACCGCATCTTGCACCTCGCCACTGCCGTGTCTATTGCGCTCCAGGCGTGGGCAGAACAGGCCGCGATCTGATGGTCTCAAAGACGCCGCACACCGCACAGACCGAACATGCACCTCATGTTGCGCCCCACCCGAAGCGCAGGCGCTCTTATGTTCGCGTTTCGGGGGGCACGTGTCACGATCTCGATTTCTACAAGACGCAGTGCGCCGCACAAGCCGCACGTGCGCCAGATGTCGCCCGACTTCTGCCACGGGGGCATTCATCTGTTCTGGGCGCGGAGAGGCGGGGCCGAAATCTGATTGCATGCCGCGCACCACCTGACGTCGAAGCTATACATCTGGAGCCTCGCCCCCGAGTCTGCGATTACTGCAGAGTGGCTACGTGCGCGGCAGAAAGCGCTGGCTTCTGCTGCCGAACGGGGAAGCACGCCACCTACTTCGACGCGTACTTTCGACGGCCGGACAACGCAACGCAGGACATATTTCGGAGACCCGCGTTCAGCGCCTCCTCGCGTGCGCGCGACAAGCTGTTCGCACTGACTGTCCACGACATGCAGTCCAGCTCGTCGGAACGGGAAACGGAATTCTCTCCCCGCGCGCATTTCTTCATGCAGATCCACGGCGACACGCGCCGGAAAACGTGGGCAGTTGACGCGGGGAGCGCCGCGCGGCACGTCGTCGTCGACCCTCAGCTTCGCTCCCAGACGGCGGCGCGGCTGCAGCTCGAGCCCCGCGCTGGCGCGGGTTGGAGCGCATGATTCCGCCCAGTAACCCGCGCATGTAAACGGTCGCGGTCTTCGGGGCGTCCCTCTACGTCTCGATTGGGGCGAGGGTGCGCAGGAGGTGGCTGCCATTTTGGGCGCCAGTTCGGGGGCGCAGGCACGCCCGCGATCGGGCACTGGAGATCTTCGCGCACCTCTGGCCCGTTGGGCCGGCGAATTCCGACGTCGCCGTCCGAGGCCCGTCTGGGGCTTCAGTGACATCGGCCCGGCAGCGCGATTGCTGCGGCGTTCGCGATGGCAGCGGTCTCCCCCTCTCAGTCTTCCTTTCGTATGTCGTCGCCTTCGTCGTCGCCGTCGTCGACGTCGTTGCCGTTGCTTTCGTCGTCGTCGTCGTCGTCAGCGTCGTAGCCGGCGTCGTAGTCATCGTCGTTTTCATCGCCATCGTCGTCGTCATCGTGGTCGTCGTCGTCGTCGTCGTCGTCGCCCTCGCCGCCCCTGTCTCGACCGCCCCGCCTGCTCGGCCGGCCCGCCGGTTCCGCTCGGCTCGGCCCGGGTCGGCGGCGAGGGGGTGGGGAATGAAGGGCGAGGGAAGGAAAGGATTGGGAAAGGAAGACATTGTCAGATCGACAACCGCTCAAACAGCAACAAGGCGTTATCGCTTTCTTTAAATTGTGCACATATCTGTCTTCCCGCCTGCTTGCTCAACTTGAAGGGCCGCAGTAGTCTGGCCACTTTCGCCTGGGGCCCCGGCACCTTTGAGTTGCGAGATGCCCGGGGCAGCTGGTCATGCCACTGCCGCGTGAGATACGCATGCGCATGCGCGCACGTAGTTACACATACCGTTTGCATATGCGTGTACATGCCCTTACGTGCGTGAAATTATATGCACACATGTAATATGTTTTCCATGGGCGCATGCGCGTGCGCATGCGCGCGCGCACTCCGCTAACGTGCGAAACTCAAATGTACCAAGGTGCATGGCGCGCAGCGCCAATGCAGCCTTGCGTGTATATATATATATATATGTAAATACACGTTTGTATATATATATATATAGATCAACATATTATGGATATATATATATATATACACGCGGCCAAGCTCCTGGCTCGAGATCCTGTGGTCTCCAGAGCGGGGGCGCTATGCCCATCGCCCTGCAATTCGTGCTATCAAGTCACACACTGACGGCTTACATGAGGCTCATATCATGGAATCCGATGTCTCTGCAAGATTACGACAAGCGCCCTGACATTTCACGAGAATTACAACATGTGGATGCGGTTCTGCTCTCTGGCACCCAGACCAAGACTGTCGACGCCTACGACGCGCACTCAAACACCGAGTTCCTCATGCTGAAGTTCGGCTTGCACCGTTATAACAAGAACGCGACTGGCAACGCATCGTGTGGTACCGAGATTTGGCTTAGCAGACGATGGTGTCGAAAATCCCACTGTGTGAAGGTCTGGCAGACGCCCGCAGCGATTCGAGGCAGAGTGGGTGCGGCACGAGTAAAAAGCTCACACTTTGACTACGCATTCATCACGGCGTACTTCCCACCTCGAGCTCTTCGGCATACCACGGCGGCCAAGAACGAGGTGATCGTGGACAAGATTATTGCCCACCTGCACGACATCCTCGCCAGCCTGCCGAACCGTACTTGCGTCTTCATCAGGACGGACCTGAACGACGGCGTCAAGCGCGACATCCACACGGACGACGAAGATGCTGTGATAGGTCCATTCGCCAGCGGCCCTCAGCACTACGCTGGCGAAGCCTTCCATGCGCTTCTGAAGGACAACGCCCTATGCGCGACCAACCAACGCTCACCACCCGTGCGGCCCGACATATCACGGACTCCGTGGACATTCCAGTTATATCGGCTACATCTTGATGCCGATCCGTTACCTACCCCGCGTACGCAGACGCAACATCGCTTACCGCCTCAGTAAAAGCTGCGCGCATTGCCTTCGCAACGGTTACTTGATCACATGATGTTGTATATCGACGTGGATTGTGCCCTCACGCTCGACATGCCCAAGACGTCACCGCAGTGGGACTTCACTCGGACCTTCCTTGCTACACACGACGAAACATACCACTGGTGGGCGAAGCAATTCCGCGACGACATCGAAGAAGACTTGACGAACCTCTTGCACGAGTACGGCCGAACAATATATTATTGATCTACTATTGATCTTTAAACGTACCCGCAATTTCCGAGGCCGAAAAATCTATCATTGATCTCGGATATCAGCAACTTGCGTTACAACGTAGACAAGCCCTACATGCACGAACACTCGCGAGGCAGAGCCTGACCGACGACCTCGAGAGCACGATCGTACTTCGCCGCTGCAGTTCGGAATGCAATTTACTACGACGTCGATTGCGCGACCACCGAGACGAACAGCACTTCCAGGAACTACTGCTGGCCGAAGAAGTTGGTCTTGAAGCGGGGGCCTGGCGTGCTTGCCGTCGCCTCGCTGCGAACGGCAAAGGACCTGGAAGGCGCTGCTATTTCGACCTACCCGAAGCCCGACCGTCGGCCCACACATGGACGAATCTATGGCACTACCTGGCGCTGAAAGTGTCATGGAAGCCACACCTATCGACGTCGACCAATTTATCGGCAACGCTGCTGAACATGACGAACGTTTCTGCCCCACGGCTCATCAGTGGACACACGCTCAATATAACATGGCACCGATGCAGAGACGGCTACGAAAGTATTGCAAACGACGACGAGCTGCACCTGAATGGTCACTTCCAGCTGATGTGTGGGTGCTCCTTCTTGTGGGCCGAAGCGAAGACCAGGAGACAAACGGGTGGCCTGAATATGACCCTTCGACCCGTTTCCCTGGACCCCTCCTCGGCGACGCTATTATCACATAGCTTGCATCAGTACGTCAACACCAACGACTGAATGCATGGTGGAACCTCTCCCAGACCTACCAAGTGAGCATCATGAATAACAAACCGCGCATTCGAGGTACACGGCTATTACACGGACCATGCCCTTTTGGCAAATTTTGGGTTGCATCACGGCAGATGTTGACGGCCGCGCTTCTGATGTTGAGCGTGGGTATGCGCGTGCCAGATCGAGATCAGAAGCTATTGCTGTAGGGCTGGCGCTCCAATGGCTACCCCAACACATCAGCAAGAGCCACATCACCATGAAGCATGACATGACGAACGCGTTCGCCTCCGTCGTCCACCCGATCCTTGACGCCGCCGTCGACCAGATCTACCTCCCTGGCGACTGCGCGATCATGAAAGGACGACACCGAAGAGTTGCCTGTGTCATTAGCGATGGCATCAACTCTCAGTGCTACCAGAACCACGTGGACTGCTTCATGGGTGTCTCTGACGCCGCCATCAGGTTCCGTGTGTCGTTCAAACCGCCGACCAACGCTTGGGCCGCCTCGATTGCCGCGGACACGTCATCCTCATTGGTCGCGGGCTGCGAGTTCTCGGGTTCCAACGCCGGCCTCAGCGTTCGTAAGTATGCCGACGACCTCACCAACAACCCACTTGTGCATGGTCGCGCAAATGGCGGCCTACAAGGTGCACAACTCTGACACGATCCTCAGCGAAAAGCTGAGCACCATCGGACTACAACAGAACGCGAGCAAGAAAGCTGTTCTACCGACCTTCACTGGACCTGGAACTCATCGAAACGCACGTGGACTACATTATGGAAAATACAAGTTGATGGCGAAGTACACTCATCTACGCTCTTCCTTGGCTCTATCATGCAAGCGAGCGGCCTGAATCATGCCGAGGTACGCGCTCGATGTGCCGCTGCCGCCCGTGGATGGAGGAGCATGTGCCGTTTCTGGCATAATTGCAGGAAGCTTGGACGACGGAAGCTAGTATGCAGAAGCCAAGTTTATTCCGCAGCTGTCTCTGGTCTCGATGCCCGTGTCTTCCCCAAGGCGCACCTCGCCGAGATCGACGCCTGCGTCGCCCGATGCGCCCGAGCACTCCTCCAAGGTACAGCATCAATCACGCAGTCTGTCGACGACGCCGACCTGCCTGCAACGATCGAGGTGGTCCGCAACATCTCATCGCACGCAGTTTGGAACAAGTTGAAGATGGTCCCTTCGTCGGTAGATCTTCAGATTATCCGCATCAAGAGATGGCAACGTGTCGCTCGAGAAACGACGCACCATGCGCAGCTACTTGCAACTGTCTTTGGCCCGCTGATGTGTGAAATCGATCAAACTATGGAACTGCCTTGGGCGCCAGTCCGACCCGCAGGCGACGACGCCCACAAGAACAACCCGTGGAGGAAGCAGCTCATGGACGATATGCATTTGCTGCAGGTTTTTGCCGACGGCCGCGCCTGCCTCGACGTAATCGGCGATGACCTATTGGATATTTGTCGGCCTACCGCGGGCAGGGGCGTCTTTCTCAAGCTCGCGGTGGCACGTCTGCGCAAGTGGTGGCTGGAACAGCCCGCCCCTGCACGCAGGGTTCCAGATGCAATTGTCAGCTGGAACTGCCCCCGCACGTGCGGCCTGCTCTGCGAAGATGGCGCAGTGTGTCTGTTCGCAGCCGAGACAGAACAAGCCCTCCGAGTGCACCAAACGATGAGCGGGGAGGGGGGCGAACATGGTCGCATATGCGAACACTCACGATTCACGATTACTAACCAATGCCCGAACTGCCGATCGACCCTTCGCTAGCCGACAGACTGCGATTAACCACCTTGCCGCGGCCTACCGGTCTGGACAATGCCTAAAACATCGGTCGGCCTCTGACTTTGAAGCGCACGATCCGCCGCAGCTGTTTTCCCGAGCGACGACTGCGAGCGCGCATTCACCGATTTCAGCGAGCTCCAGGCGCACATTGCCACCGCGTACCTACCGACTCCACGCCCCCATGTCGCGGGCGAACTCACTACCCAGCGTTGGAGAGCCCGTGGGGGGCGCAGCAGCAGACGCCACACGGCCACGGAAGGCCCGCCGACAACAAGGAAAAGCACGTGGCGGCCAGCAGAATGGATCGAACAAGCAGGTGAATCGAGACGAGCGCACGCTGGACGAGATGGACGTGAAAGACATCCAGAGGATGTCCCCCGTCGCGATGAAGCTGCTTCTCAGTGTTGCGATGAAGCAGCGCCAGACCGACGCCATCCTGATAAGATATTGCCTCGCCCCCCCTGGTGCCAGGAGCGTGGTGGCGATCCGCGCTCGAGTCCGCGCGTGGGTCAAGAAGGCCGAGGCGACCCGCAGCTCCACCACTGCGGGCCAGATCGACGCGGAGATGAGCAGAAACTGACCGAGCTAGCCGAGAAGTTGAAGGTGTTGGAAATGAAACCGATCGTCGAGCTCGTTCCTCTGGTGAAGGTCAGCGACGCCCACGACCAAGCGATGGCCGAGCTCCAGCTCAGCTTCAACAAGACCGACACCGATCTCAGCGTGATCCACGAAGCGCTGACGCAGACGGGCGCGAACTACAAGCCAGGCCAGGGACCCATGGTCCATATGGGGCGGATCCTGCATGCGAAGGTGTCACAGATGGAAGACACTCTCATGGGCTTAATGATCCAGTGTACTACTGGACACGACACAGTTGTGCGCAATGGAGCCCATGTATTCTGCTGAATATCGCTGACGAGGGCGAGCGGCGCCCAAGTGCAGCCGCGGACACTCCCTGCACGACGCGAACTACTACGGCTGCTCCCACATGTGCAGCCCCGCCGGCGACGCCCGCTACGGCGAGTACTGAGATGCGCGCAGCTTCGCTGATGGCACATGCACGTGAGATTGAGGCCGCCAAGCAGAGAACCCCTGAGCCTCCTGAGCCCCGCCTACTTCGGCACCCTGTTACTGACCCTTCTCCTCCCTCGGTCCTGGAGCCACCTTGCCCCCCCCCGCCTCCCAAGAGGCTCCGCAGGGCCTCTGTCTCTCAGTATCCGCCCACGCGGCTGCCGCAACCTCCCAGGAGCCCGTCCTTTTCCTCCGCTGCCAGGCCTGGTTCAGACACCGACTCAAGGACGATGGAAGCCATTTTGCGGCTCGTGAGATCGAGCAGGCGTTAAGACCTGCGTTTCGATCCCCGTCAGTGTGCGACTTGTCATTTAACCTCGGGCGTAGCCCGATCCTTGAGGCACGCCGCGTCTGAGACCCGTGCACCGCAGCCTCCGAGGTGTCCGATCCGATCCGATATACGCGGTCGGCTCCCCCCCCCCCCCCAGCACCCTGCGGTGCCCTATCCCGTCTCCTCTTCTTCCTTTTCTCCTCCTCTTCCTCCTCCTCCCTTCTCCTCCCCCTCCTCCTCTGCGCCCTCCTCCTCCTCCTCCTCCTCTCCCCCCCTCCTCCCCCTCCTCCTCCTCCAGGGCTGCCACGAAACCATGCGATTCCCAGGTTGTTGTTCTGTCTCGGTCGGCGAGGCCACCAAACGCTGCTATTTGCATTCTTTATGTATTCAGTGGATCGGCAAACTTTCCTCGGAGGTTTGCGGACACAGAAACAAACGCACAACTAACATGTGAACAACAGTGATTGGTGGCCTTGGGGGCGCGAAACCATGGCATGCACAGTTGTTTGGTTTCTGTTGGAAACCGAGGCCAACAATTGTGTAAATAGCAATGTATGGTGGCCTTGGGGGTTGTGCAACCATGGTTTTCACATGTTTTTTTGTTTATGATGGAAACCAAAACCAACACAACTTGTGAATGGCCGTGTTTGGTGGCTTTGGGGGGCACGACGCCATGGCATTCATAGTTAATTTGTTTTTTGGTGTCCGGAAATTTCCTGGCGAAGTTTGCGATCCTTTTGAACACCTAAAACACCAAAAACAACTAGTGGCTAGCAGCGTTTCGTGGCCATGCTGCTGTTATCGTTGCTGTTGCTCCTCCTCCCCCTCCTCTTCCTCATCCTCCTTTTCTTTCTCCTCTGCTTCCTCCGCCACCTCTTCCCCCTCCTCTTCCTCCTCCTCCTGCGTTACACTTTTTCGTCCGCCTCCTCCTCCCATTCCTCCTCTTCCGCCTCCTCCTCCTCCTCCTTCTCCTCCTCCTCCTCCTTATGTGCTCCTCCTCCTTCTCCTCCGCCTCTTCCTCCCATCCCTCCTCCTCATCCTCTTCCTCCTCCTCCTCCTCCTCCTCCTCCTCCTTTTCCTCCTTTTCCACCTTTGTTTCCTCCTCCCGTGCGTTGCCTCTTCCTCTTCCTCCGCCTGGTTTCCCCCCTTTCCTCCTCACCTTCCTCCTCCTCCTCCTGCTCCTCCTCCTCCTGCTTCCCCTGCTCCTCATCCTCCTCTTACTCCTCGTGTTCGTCCTCCTCCTCATCCTCCTTTTCCCCTCGTCTTCCTCCTGCTCCTCCCCCTCCTCATCCTCCTCCTCTTCATCTTCCTCCCCCCTCCCCCCTGACCAACCTATGACGCAACCGTTCGCAGACCGTCTTGTTCTTAATGGCCGAGGGCGCAACCTATGGCGCGACCAATGGGGGACGGTTGTGTTCTCAGCCGTTGAAGGCACAATCTATAATGCAACCGATCGAACACTGTTGCACCCTCGGCCGCCGAGGGCGCACAGGAGGAAGAAGAAGATGAGGATGACGAGGCGGATGAAGAACAGAAGGAGGGAGGATGATGAGGAGGATGAGGATGAGGAAGGGGACGATCAGGATGAGGAGGAGGAAAACGATCAGGATGATGCTGAGAAGATGAAGGCAATGAGACGGAAGAAGAGGAACACGAATCGGAGAAGGAGGATGAACAGAATAAGGACGAATAGCATCAGATCGATCACTCGCTGTCGGGGTGGGGTGTTGAGTGGTCTCCTTGTTTCTCCTCCTCCTCCTCCGCATGTCCTTTCTCCGCCTCCTTCGCCAACAAGGCTTGCGACAGGAGCCTGGTCAACAACCCGCGCTGAAAACGAGCAGGGCGAGGAGGGGGATGAGGATGAGGAAGATGAGAGAAAGCAGGGTGAGCGGTAGGAGGACAAGGAGGAGAAGGATGAGGAGGAGGACGAATAAGAATAGGAAGAGGACAAACCACTGAGTGAGGGGTAGGAGGGTGAGGCGGAGGAGGAGGAGGACGACGAGGAACAGGAACTAAAGCTGAGCGAGGGGTAGGGGGTTGAGGATGAGCGGGCGAGCGAGCGGAAGCCGAGGGGCAGTTGGATCCGGAGCGGGTGGGGGGCAAGCACACACTTCAACCCCCCCCCCCCCCCCCCCAGCGCCTGCACGGTGGGGCCCGAAGGCCAGGGCCACCTTGCAAGCGCCAGGGAGGGGGGCGAGGTACGTGCCCGCCTCAAAGCGGGCCGCGCGGGCGGCCAGGGTGTCACGGGGCCTGCGGCAGGCCCCGTGCTCACCAGCGCGAAGCCCGCCGAGGCGACGAAGCGCGCCCACGGGGCTCCCAGCGCCACGAGCAGGGGGCCCCACCACTCGTGGCGCAGCGCGAGAACCACGAACATGTGCCCGCGTGGAAATCGAAGCCGACGCGGAACACACACACAGCGTGGTCAAACAACTCCACGCTCGAGCCGCACGGCAAAACAGGCTGGACGCACCCGCCGCTCGGAGGAGCCAAGAGCCAGCAATGCTGCAACCCAAGGCCCTCGGACGGACGTCGCCAACAGCTGCGACGAATGCGCGCAGTGCCTGGGCATGGCCTCGGCAAGCCTGCCCAAGACAATATTGTAAAGCAAAACGAGTTGATGAAGCACGTGAGGATCAAACACCACATCAGCACTTCTATCTGAGTGGATAGTCGCCCATGAGGATCAAACTCCACAAATGAGCGATCGGACTCCTGGCCTGCATCGTCATCTTCGGCGACGCGTCCTAGCTCCACTGCCTCTTGATATTCGAGGCCGTGCGCTTTGTGAATATTTGAAGTGTTCAGGAGCCGCTGCTTCTTCAAGGGAATCTGCGTCGAATGAGTCTTCACTTCCAACTTCCATTTCTTGGCAGCTCTGACCAAATCTCTGGCAGGACCCGAAGGGGGCGGCGGAGACCCCAGGCGAACATCAGCACGAATGGTCTGGGGATGCCTGAGATTGTCAAAGTGTCTGCGGTTCTCAATCTCCCTGCCGCCACTATGCTTGCCTTTGCACTTTTGCGCCGGGCCACGATGGTTGTTCGAGTCAGAGCAGAAGTACTGACAGCAGGTCGAACAAAACAAAATAAAGTGCGGCGAGTCCACCATTTGATATTCCACTAAATTGTGATTGGCAACATTCCACGGCTCCAGAAAGACATCCAGTCCATCTTCCAACACGAGCTCCCTCAGCGGTTCCTGGCCCACCAAGATCTGGGGAGCAGGCTGTGACTCCTCGACTTCATCATCTTCTTTCAACGGGAAGTGAGAATCGAGGCCCTCAGGGTTTGAATCGTACAGCCATGCCTGGAAACTGCCAAGGTATCGCGACAACATCTTATGCATCCTCCTGCATCCACGAACAAAATCAACGTGCTCACCCTCGGGCATGTTGTAGGCTGCACCTCTCTTCGCCAGCGCATCTGCCGTGGAGTTGTCCGTCTTCTCAAAATCTGAGAGCACACCTTCAATCGCGTCGTTGGACGTCATGT